TAACTTCAAACACACCCTTTATTATGTATTATTTTTCAAGTCTGTTGAGTTCAAACTGTCTAAAAGAAATTGTGACACTTTCAGAACACTTCTTGAGAGAATTGACAAAAGACTGTAAAAAGAAGGAGGTAAATGGATAATTGCATCCCAATTTGTACCCAAAGGTAGGAGAAAGGTTTATATTCATAAATGCTTGCATGTAAAGAGTAGTCAGGAATGGAGGGATTAGTCTATGTCAGTATGTGTATGCTTAATGCTTTCAAAAGAACTAAAAAAGAAATGACACTTTAAGTCATGTCTCATAATTGGCATAGACTGTTCATTGGGTGAAGCTAAATTATGTGCTTGCAGGAAAGTCAATTTTCTATAGGACTTTTCTCTTTTTATAGACTGATTTAAAATTGAGTTCTACAAAACTTCATAATGGAAAATATTGGGGATAACTAAAGTGACATTTTGGCAGAGGAGACACTGCCACAGTTGCCATATCGGGGACTTCTGGCACTTTTCACCTTAAGTTTGAGTGTCTTTTATGAATAATTTAAAAAACAACAAAAGCCAACACTATCATGCCAATATGTTAAGACCTGAAAAAGGAAGGTTTTGACTACTCAGTTTTAAAACTGTATTTTTCAACGATTAATTGAAATTGGTACCAATTTGGAAGCAATACCAAAGTTTCTTGATGGTTCTGGAGCAAAATTTAACTACTGCTCTTTGCAGAAACACTTTGACATTCTGATAGCCAGTGGAAGTTTGGCCCCAGATGGTGCTCTGGCAGCTGAATAGATACAAAGGTCTGTGTTCACAGCACAAGAAGATGGACAGACCAGGCAAGCACTTGCTCAGGTGTTTAACAAGTTAATCAGTTGCTACAAATACCTGGTGAAAAGTTTGGAAAATACAATAAAAGAGCTGCAGCCATTCTTAAGTGGTTTTTCAGAATCAAAGTGAAACATATTAACCAGTGGGCCTCTGGCTAATGGAATACTCAATGTATTCATTGAAATACCATTGGATTTTGGCAGCTTTTGCTGTACAACTCTTAAAATTATGGATAAATGAAAAAAGATATCAATGCAGTAGCTGAAAGTCTCAGAAAGTCAGCATTGATAACTGAATTTTTTTCCTGCCAATAAAGCAAGTATTGAAAATTTCAAAAAGTACTGATGCAGGTTTGAAAGAATTTTCAAAACATGGTCAGAATCAGCAACCATAACCTCCTAAGGAACTCCAGAAAGAACTTCAAGAACAGATTCCCATTAAGCTCCATTTTAGCATACAATTTTGTATGTTAAAAAGATGAAAAAAGTATATTCCTAGAGCTCATTGTATGAGTAGACTGTTCCAGTGTAATGAACACCATGGACTGGAACAAAAATGAGGCACTTTAGAAGAGTGAGCCATCAAGCATTTGAAGCAATATAGCCCTGTACTTGCTGCCTTTACTATTCAAGGTTAGCTTGAAACTGTATTGACGATTCAAGAGTATTGTTTGACAACACCCATTTCATGAAGTCTTCCAGAAAACAGTGATGCTTTTAATTAAAACTTAAGAGCCCACTCTGAAGTGATATGAAGACACACACTTGCAAAGGACAAAAGTGTCTTCCTTGAGCAAGTGAAAGCATTTATAGAGTGGCTCAAAAATGCTGAGAAGAATCAGTCTGAAGCTGAAGGTGACTGAATTTTGAAGCTACACCCTTAGTAAAGCAAATAGGAGTTACAGCAAAAATGTCATGAGACATGCATTCTAGTTCTTACATTAAGCACGTTATAAGGACTTTCATGGAAAATTTTCATTTTAACTGTTTTTATAGCTACTGGAAATGTTGGGTTTCGTGTCTAAAACTGTGTCTTAAGTAGCTACAAGAGCTGTAGACGTTAATGTTACAATAGTCTTGTCAGTTATTTTCCACCTCTAATAATGATATAATTTAGGGCCTTCTTCAACTTTATTCCATAGGTTTTTCTCTATGAATAGTTTTCAAGATATAATCTATTTAGAAATGTTATAGAAATTGTTTGCAAATTAAACTATATAAGTACAAAGTATCAAAAGGTAATGATTTGTATGATTTGCTATGCCTAAACCGCTATTAAATGAATATCTCATATATAACAACTGAATTTATTTAATATAAACTTTGAGAATTTGGACCATTACTTGCATGTTAATATTTTCTCTCATTTTGGGCCCTCCCTGGTGGTGCAGCGGCTTTAAGCACTGCACTAGGGGGTTTGAGTTCCATCCCCGCCTGCCCCGGAGGAGATCCACAGGGCAAGGCAGACCTCTCCTGACCCGCCCGCTGCTCCCCTCAGCAGTGTACTCCGTCGATCTGCCTGTTCTGCTCCCCACTCTGTCTCTGGTGAATCCTCTCACCCTCCGCATCTCTGGCCTGTACCCCGGTTCTGTATAAATAAATAAATCTTTAAAAATATATTTTTTTCTCTCATTTTAACCTCAGATATCCTTCCACTCAATTGTCTGGTTCTCTGATTTCTCACTTCCTAGTTAAGCCATGGAGAACAAGCTTAAAGGTGAGGTCTTTAAAAAATTATATGCAGCAGAGATGATAGGAAGAAGAAAGCTGAATTTTCTACCATTCAGAAACTTCTGCATTCGCTTTGTATCTTTCTAGGCAAAACAAATGAGTATACTTCCTCTCATACATACAATTTTCAAATGTACCTCAGAAAAGTTTTGTCATTTACAATATCTTAGCATTTGTTATATGCTTACTGAGATTAATAGGCAAGGACTCAAAGTTGCATGAGTGTAAAGAAATTGTGCTAAACCCATAAAAATAGTAAGAAATTTTAAGTGTTTATTAATTAGCATGCTATAATTGGGACTTAAAATATAACTCATCTTTTCTATTGACATATATTGTAAAGAATAAAATGTAGTGATAATACATTTCCATTTGGTGTATTGAGGCAGCTTCATTCTCTTAACATATTCAGTAATGCTATTAACTGCTTATAAACACATTCTGGTTGTCATTTTTTTAATTGCCTTCAGTCAAATAGTGATACTACACAACTGAGCAATTTCAGTGGTTGCCTTTTTTTTATTTTCAGTATTTTCTTGTGGCTCCCCATTATTAGAAAATAAAATGTGAGGACACTTCTTGGCAGAAAGACCTCCTGTTATAAGCAAACATTTTTTTTCCCTCCACAGGGAAATTATATTGTCCTCATTTCTACATAGTGATTTGCTTTTATTTTGTAAACTGCTGTCCTCAAGACTTAAAAAAAAAATACACATAGGTTATACAGATCAGATTTCTCATTTTGAGTTTTTTGGGTAAATTTCACATTAATATCTAGTCATACTGTATGTGTTCAGATGTTTCTGTGTAAGCGTTAAGTGATTGTTCTTTTCACCCTATGACTCCTGAACTGTAAACACATAGAATTTGAATGCATCAGAAACTATACTATAACATTCCTACAAACAAGTCATTGTGTGTTACTGTGATACAAAGTGTACCTACTCTGTTTTATCACATAGTGTACAGTTGTGTAGTTTTACAGAACTACAGTATCTTTGTCTGGTCATATAGTTTTTCCCTTCATAATTACAAAGTATTGTTTACTACATATAGTATTATAGGAAATGGGTAAGTCATCTGTGGCAGTATAAAGAAAGGGAGTGCTTTCTAAAAACACTGGATTCTCATTTTGAACTCTAGTATTTTTCTTAACTAACTGTACTTGTTATTTTGATTGGATGTTAGTGGATTTTCCTAAAAGGAAAAACATCTCAAAATTCATACTTGCTAATGTGGGTACTAAAAATGGGGGTACTGAGACTTGTATTTTTTCCTTTCTTAAGTCTGTTAGTAAAATTGAATAACTGTTATTCCTAAAAGTATGTACTCCATACATACCATCAGTATCTTTGTCAAAGGCTTTGTGGATGAGACAAGGAAGAGGAGGAGTAGAAATTTCAAATGACTGAGGAAGTCACCCTTCTTTTAGAACACAACTCAAAAGACTTAACTTATTTCATGTAAGTCGGGCCGGGTGTCTGTGTGACTTATTCTCAGACAGCTGTTGTGTGTGTGGCTTACTATTAGACAGCCAATAAATAAGCATTCTAGTTGTAGAGTAAGAGAAAATGAGTAGAAATAGATATTCCTAGAGAAGCGACTCCTCAGTTTGTTCTTTGAGTTGTCAAAGATTTTTTCCCTTTACTTAATCACAGAATATTAGTTAAAGTCAAGACAAAACCACTCTTCCTTGAAACACTTTCATGTGTTTTTCAGTGAAGCAACACTTCCCTTAACTGCCATTTGTTCTCAGACTCTCTGTCATTTATTCAGCAATGTCGTGTGACCTCGAGCATGTAACTTAAACTTTCTGAACCTCGCCTCCGTGAAATATGTTTTAACAACAGTCACCTCACTAAATGCAAGTTCTTACATAGTTCATTGCGATTAACTAAGTCTCAGCACGGCGGTTTGGCGCTTCCGCCGTCTGAGGTGTAAACCCACCACTTCTCGGAAGAAGGAAAGCAGTTTCCGGAATGCAACGCAGAGGAAAAGAGCAACGCTTTCCACGCCTGGGGCGAGGGCGACAATCCAAATGGCGTTCCCTAAAAGCGGGCGTAGCTCACCCTAGACAGCGTGAAGACTGGACGTCAATTAGCCCAGGTGAGGGGCCCGCCTCCTTCCGGAAAGCGAAACCGTGACTACCGTCCCTTCCCCGCCTTGCGCACACAGCATTATGTTTCCAACTGCACTTTCGATAAAACTGTGGCGCGCAATATTTCCCTTTGAAACGTCCATGTTTTATTTATTTACATTTTTTCCTGACGTTAGTTGAAGGTAAAATTAAAGTTGGAGGACTTAAAAGACAGATAATGGCTACGGAAAGGGGGAGCAGATGATCCGGCCTGGCGAAAGTGCGGAGCAGGAGCTCAGTGCACCCTCTCTTTGTCGGCCGGAAGTTGCGAGACTGAATGGCTCTGGAGCCGGCGGATGTGTCTTCTTTCTCCACTTGACGCTTGGTCGCCGCTGGGCTACCAGGTACATGTGGAGGCTCCCAGTAGCCCGCGCTGCGCTTCGTGGGGTGCGTACGGCGGTGGAACGGCACAGCCAGACGGAGGCAGCAACTGGGACGGCGGCGGGCGCGATGGAGCGGGCTGTAGTACGCTGTGTGCCCTCGGAGCCCAAGCTAAGCCTGTCATTCGCGTTGGCCGACGGCAGCCACAAGAACATGCAACGTGATCAGAGCGAGCCACTGGGTCGGGCCCTTAGCCGAATCGCTACTAACGCTCTCAAGGGCCACGCGAAGGCGGCCGCCGCCAAAAAGAGCCGGAAGAACAGGCCAAACGCGAGCGGCGGTGTGTCTTGTGCGGGGCCTGGACCCGAGCCGGCTGCGGCCTGCGAGCCGGTGGTGAAGCTGTACTACCGGGAGGAGGCAGTCGCTGAGGACGTGCTCAACGTGGACGCCTGGCAGGACGGCGCGGTGCTACAGATAGGCGATGTCAAGTACAAGGTGGAGCGCAACCCTCCCGCTTTTACGGAGCTGCAATTGCCACGCTATATAATGGCCGGATTCCCGGTGTGCCCCAAGCTCAGCCTAGAGTTTGGGGATCCCTCCAGCTCCCTCTTCCGCTGGTACAAAGAAGCCAAACCCCGAGGGGCGGAACCAGAAGGCGGGGGCCCTTCGTCATTGTCTCCGTCTTCGCCCTCTCCTACTTGGACAGAGACTGGTGTGGACCAGCGCGTTTATACCCCGACTAATGCCGACATCGGTCTTAGGCTCAAGTTTCATTGCACCCCAGGCAATGGGCAGCGCTTCGGGCCAAGCAGAGAGTTGGAAAGTTGTCCAGTGGAGGCCGGGCCTGGCACCTGCACCTTTGACCACCGGCATCTCTACACCAAGAAAGTGGCCGATGACTCTCTCATCCGCACTGTGTCCTACAACATCCTTGCAGATACGTACGCACAAACTGAATTTTCGCGGACTGTCCTGTACCCATACTGTGCCCCCTACGCCCTCGAGCTTGATTACCGCCAGAATCTTATCCAGAAAGAACTCACAGGCTACAATGCAGACCTCATATGTTTGCAAGAGGTTGACCGCAGCGTGTTTACAGACAGCTTGATGCCTGCCCTCGAAGCCTTTGGACTGGAAGGCCTGTTTCGAATCAAGCAGCACGAAGGTCTGGCCACTTTCTACCGAAAGTCCAAGTTTAGTCTCCTTAGCCAGCATGACATTTCTTTCCATGAAGCCCTGGAGTCTGACCCACTGCACAAAGAACTGCTGGGGAAACTAGTTTTGTACCCTTCTGCAAAAGAGAGGGTGTTACAGAGATCTTCTGTCCTTCAGGTAAAGTAACTCCATCACTCTCTTTACATAGCCATATATTTTCAGGGCCCTAGAGAAGAGGACTGTGCTTATAATAGAGATGAGACAATGAGACAGTTTTAATGAAAGATGATTGTTTTTGTATCTTCCCGAAATTTTGCTTTCATTCATTCATTGAGCAAATGCTTGGTGAGCACCTTTGGTGTACTGGGCATGGAATGAGCAGAGTGCCTTAAACAAAGGCACAGACTTACAGTGCCTACAGTCTGGTAGGAGAGACAGGGGCTCCTTGGTAGCCCAGGGATTAAAGTCTTGTGCTATCAGGCCATGCATGGCCAGTCACTTTTGCATGAGTGGCATGGATTTGATCCTCAACCAGGGAGGTGAGGCAAGGCGTGGCAGGCTTGTCTCACCCACTGTGCCCCACTCTGTCTCTGGTGAATCTTTTCACCTCCAGCACCTCTGGCCTACACTCCAGTTCTTGTATGCACATATATAAAAAGAATAGCAGTAGGTAGTACTCTGACACCTTTTAAAGTACTTAAAAATTTAAGTGTGGCCTATTTTAGAAGTACTCCATGAATATTAGTTATTTCAACTTTTGGTCTATAGTAATCCTATACGATTTCTGTGTTATAGCTATTCTTCGATTTATGTAAATGGAGAAATGGGTAAGTTTACTTATCCACCTTCACAAATGTGTGGGCCAAGAGTGTTACCAAGTCAGTTAAAGTTCTTTCCCTTTTTTTTAAAGACTGCTTTTTTTTTCGTGTTTCATGTGACTGTACGTAAGGTTATTTACAAGACAGTCCCTCTTGATGTGTATCATATACTGACTCTTATTTACTGATGAAAAAACTAACTCAGGAAAAATGTCTCCCTCTCCAGACCCCACTGCTATAAATGCTTGAGTGGATTTTTGTAGGTCTGCCTGACTCCAAAACCTATATTTACCCATTTAAAAACACTGTTTCTGGCCCTCCCTGGTGGCGCTGCAGGTTAAAGCACAGCACTAAGAAGCTAAAGCCACTTCAGCATGAATTTGATTCCCTCCCCTACCTGACCCACATGGTGCGACAGACCTCTTGTGACCCCCCCACTGCTCCACTTAGTATACTCCATCCGTTGGCCTGTTCTGCTTCCCACTCTGTCTTCTCTCACCACCCCTGCACCTCTGAGTGTACCCCAGTTCTGAATGCATAAATAAATCTTTAAAAAACAAAAAAACACTGTTTCTGCCCTCCCTAGTGACACAATGGGTTAGGATGCAGCACTGCAAGCCAGCTGCAGCCATTTCAGTGTGAGTTCGATCCACAGCCCCCAAAATGAGCTGCTTGGCACAGCAGGCCTCTCCTGTTTTGCTGCTGCTCCCCTCAGCAGCATATTTTGTTGATCTTCCTATTCTGCTCCCCACTTTGTCTCTGGTGAATCCTCTCCCTGCCCCTGTACCTCTGGCCTGTGCCCCAGTTCTGTATGCACAAATAAATAAATCTTTAAAAAATAAAAACACTGTTTCTAGTCTGAGTATATTCTACAGTGTAGAATACGCTGTGTATTCTTTGTATAATACAGTGTTTGTTGGAATAGTTTATGCCTGATTCCCAAGGCAGAGCACTTGTATATTGTAAAACTGTAGCAAATACTAAATTTCATAATTGCTACCATAATTCATCAGTGGGGTAGAGTATGGAATAAATCGCCCATACGATATTTATTTATTTTTATTATATATATATTTTAAATTTTATAATAGTTTATTTTTACATGTTTTTGTGCATTTTTTCATCTCAGTTGCAGTCCCCTTGGGCATACAATATTAAAAAAAAAAAACATTCTGGAGTTTGACATATCCCAACTAAGCTCAGCATATTCTGTTTATTCTAGGTTTCTGTTCTTCAGTCTACAACGGATTCTTCTAAAAAGATATGTGTTGCTAATACCCATCTCTACTGGCACCCAAAAGGTAGATATTAATGGTTTTTACAAGTGATTTAAACATGGTGAATTAAAGTTGGTGGAGCAGTTTTACATAGAGATACATATTCAATCATTTTCTTTCTTTATATTTTTTAACAATATAACAGTTTATTTTTACATCATTTTGTGCCTTTTTCTATCTCAGTTGTAATCCTTGTGGGCTTCCCATCACCAAATCACCTGTGTGCCATCACCTTAGTCCATTTTCTTTCATTTTTATTGACAGATATTGATGTGTAACACTTAGAAGTTTAAGGTGTGTAACATAATGACTTATATTGGGTAATGATTACCACATTTAGTTACTATCCATCACTTCATATAAGTACCAACAAAAAGTTTTTCCTTGTGATAACTTCCAGGATATACTGTTAGCAATTTTAAAATATACCAGACAGCAGTATTTACCACATGCATCACATTGTCTATTATATCCCCACTACTATCTTATAACCATAAGTTCTATCTTTTGACTACCTTCCTGCAATCCCCTCACACACACACATACAAATATCTATCTTGAATGTCACCTAGATACTATAGTTTGTGAGTTTTGTGCATTTTCTCTTTTTAATGTAAAGGCAACTTTTAAAAGGACTTACATTTTGTTTTTTTATATTCATAGGTGGGTATATTCGTCTCATTCAAATGGCAATAGCCTTGGCTCATATCAGGCATGTCTCCTGTGATCTGTATCCTGGCATACCAGTTATATTTTGTGGGGACTTTAATAGTACCCCATCAACAGGAATGTATCATTACGTCATCAATGGAGACATACCAGAGGATCATGAAGACTGGGCTTCCAGTGGGGAAGAAGAACGATGCAATATGTCTCTTACTCATTTTTTCAAACTAAAAAGTGCTTGTGGTGAACCTGCTTATACAAATTACGTTGGTGGCTTTCATGGATGTTTAGATTACATTTTCATTGACTTAAATGCTTTAGAGGTTGAACAAGTGATTCCATTACCTAGTCATGAAGAAGTTACTACCCACCAGGCCTTACCTAGTGTTTCCCATCCTTCTGATCACATAGCACTTGTATGTGACTTAAAATGGAAATAGGTTTGTATTTAATGGAATTTAAGTGTGCTTGAGTAGAAAATTTAATATGAATCAAAGCTTACTGTAACCTTCAGAGAAGAAAACTAGACACTAAGGTAAAGTGTTCTTACCCTACTAGTTATAGTCCAATGTCTTCATTACATGACTGTTCATAATGTTTGCATATTATAGTTTCTCTACCCTTTTTTCTATATTTGGAAGAAAAGCAAATATATTTATGACTAGCAGGAAGAAAACTGAATTATTGTGTATGTTTTATAAGTACTTTTTTTTAGCTAGTAATTAAGAATTTTTTTAAAGTGTCATTTGAATGACCTGATAGTTTTTCTATCATAATACATATCTCAAGTGAATCATGTTTATATAATTAGGAAGAATGTGCATAAAAGGTGTGAGGGGCCTAGGTTCTGACACATGGAATGACAATAGGGTCTACCTCAATTTGGTTAGCAATTTAATACAATTTAAGAGCTTTAACAAAAGATTAAAAGTATCAAAATTATTAATGCTTCACATCTTTCATTTTTTAGTTAACATGGGTATTTTCATTTTCTCATTTTTAATAGTTTATAGTAAATGGAACAAATGGGCATATTCTCATTCTTACTGCAGCTCATTTTGACTTAAGATGCAGGCACAATTTAATATTCAGAGTAAATGGCAACATAGTCAACTTGATCCCATTGTCTAATTACTTTGGCCCATGAAAAATATTCATAACTCAAAACAGTATTGTCCTTATAATATTAGAGAATACAACATATTATGAAGTTGCCTACTGACATGGGCTTGAAATTTTCAATGAACCATTGAGCATTTCTATGCTAGAATTATTTTTAAAATTGTTTTTATAAGTATGAAAAATGGTAGTACAGGGAGTTTTGAGCATCTGAAATTAAAAAACAAAACTATTCTTTTATAAACTTGAACATTTTAGTTTTAGTTACAGAAAACATTGTATATATGATTTATTTACTATTAAAAAAATTAAGTTATAAAGCCAAACTGTTTAACCTATAGTGATAACTGAGCTTTTCTAACTCAGCTGCCATTTTCCCTGATTTGTAATGCTTTAGTTATTACTTTTTTGGTGTTTAGGATAACTATAATGTTGTCTTATATTTCTGCTTTTAATTCTTAAATATTAAAAGCCCACCCACCTCAAAGAGAGCTCTGATTTTCTAGTAATGAAAGCCTTTGTTCCAAATTCTTTCATCTCTGAATCTGGTAAAATAAGTACTTGGCACTTTTGATAAAGTAGCCTATACTTTAGTATTCTGCACTATCCAATATATTAATAATTCTTAGTTCACTACGTTGGAGAGTGAGAGAGCTTTACCTGTATTTCAGATCAAAACTTGAAGTAGTTAAAGTCCTTGAAGGGATAAATTAACATGGCGGTTTCCTGGGATCTTGTTTAGCAAAAGCTGTAAGTGAAAAATTGTTATTACCGAATTGTGCCTTCCTGAATAAGATTTTTAGAGCATTTTTACATCCTTTAAAAATACATAAATAATATGTTAAAACTGGAATCTGGTTCTTTGGCAAAGAAAACTTATGATATGACATGCACATGCCTGTAAGAAAATCATAGGTTTTATATTAACACCACAGTCAGTTAGCTAAATTGAACTCAGTCTGAAACACTTTTAGTGCTTATCAAACATTCCGCATCCTTAATCTTTAAATTTGATATTTACTGACTGAACTGTGACCAGATTAAATAGAAAAAGTTCATACTGTTGGCATATAGAATATTGTGAGGTGCTGTATATACTCTGGTCAAATTTCTAATACAGACATGATAGTGATTAAAGTCCAAAGGTAGGGAACACTAATAAAATTACATAAATAGCCTACCAAAATTTCCTTGTATTCATTAGTTACAATACAGTGTTCAGAAATGTATGTGTTTAAAGCCATCTTTGTGAGTGAATTTTTCTAGTGCATTTGAATTTTTTTAGTACATTTGATTTTAATAAAATATGGGAAATCTAGCAACTCTATGGTGGACCACAATTATAAGTTCCTGTTTTAGGAATTAACATTTCAAAATTGTATATATTTTTTAAGATTTATTTACTTATACATATAAGAACCGGGGTACAGGCCAGACGTGTAGGGGTGGGGGACAGGATGAGAGGATTCACCAGAGACAGAGTGGGGGGCAGAATAGGCAAATTGACTGAAATACACTACTGAGGGGAGCAGTGGGTGAGACAGGAGAGTTCTCCTGTGCCATGTGGATCAGCTCCTGGCTGGGGACCAAACTCACGGTGCAGTTGCTATGGACAGCTTCATAGTGCTGCACTTTAACCCATTGTGCTACCAGCGAGGCCCCCCAATTTTTATATTATTATAAATGACTAAAAATTTTATAAAACATGTTATCCTGTTAAAATTCTTACACAATTGCCACTACAGTAGATGTATATACTAGTAGTTCATAATTCATTAGCAAAGAAATCATCTGGTCACAATGTGATGTCCTTTGAAACCTCACATAGTAAAATCAGTTGTTTCCAATTTCATAGAATTTCCTTGGATGGAAACTTCTGAGAACTATGATACGCTCACATCAAAATGAGCTGGTTTTAGTATGAAGGTACATAATATGAGAAAGAAGTTCAAAGAACATTGTGGCAGATCTCCTTTTAGATCTATGTTCTCCAGTTATAAAGTATAAGCAAAAGTTCCCAACAAACTGGTTTAATTAAGATTATACCAGTCTATAGAATGAGAGTGAGGGTTTGCATTGTACATTTATCACAAAACCCATGTGACAACTCAATAGGGAAAAGTATTTCTTCCAGAAAAATGAACAGCCAACACTAATTTCCTAAACAATTCAAAAACATTTACATGTTTTGAATTTTTTTTTTTCAATTTAGTGCTTAAAAGGGAACACTGGATTTATTTTAGGGGAAGAAACACAAGAGTGTTAACTGGTTTGGGTAATACTGAAATTCTTAGGTCCCACTTTATAAGAAGTTTAATGTCAAATCAAGGTATAAGAAATTTAATGTCAAATCAAGGTATCAGAACTGTATTAACTGTGCAATTTTTAACAGTAATTTCCAAATAACACTACTACATTCTTGAGGTCTAAGTCACGATTACCAATTTTAAAATACATGATCTACAAAGTTGTGTGATCATCTTTATGTAATTTCAATATATTTTCATCATTACATCTTTCCCCAATCCCTTCACTCCTGCAGCCCCTGCTAACCACTAATCTGTATTTGTGGATTTACCTATCCTGGCTATTTTATATAAATGGGATCATGTAGTAAATGATCTGTTATATCTGACTTTTAAGATTCATCATTGTTATGTATATCAGAACTTCCTTCTTTTGTATGGCTAATATTCCATTGTATGACTATAACACTTTATGTACCTAAATGGACATTTGAGTTGTTCCCACCTGTAGGCTATTATTAGTGCTGCTGTTGGACATTTGTGGACATTTTTTGAACAAATGTTTTCAGTATTTCTACCACCACCAATGTATGAGGATTTCCAGTTTCTCCATATCCTCACCATGTTTTTTTATAAAAATCATCCAAGTAGGTGTGAAGTGGTTATTGTTCCCAATGTATTTTTAGCTTTAGTTTATGTTGTTGCAGCCATGAACTAGATTATTGAGTAGGTTACCCCGCCTCCTCTTTTTTTGCCCAGGGACCGCATCCTTAACAATCCTGCTTATTTTTATAAGCTTGGTGTCCTATTGGAAAGGTCAGTTTCATCATTTCTTTTGAAGAGATTTGGGAAGAAAATCTTACAAAAAGGTGAAAATCCTGGAATGTAAACAATCTGGAAAGAATAAGAAGCCTAAGATGATAACAACAACAAAGTCACTTTAAAAAATGTGGATCTATAGATCCGGAATTTGTTTCAGAGAATGAACTTGCTTATCAATGTTAGCTTATAATGGTTTAGCCATGTTCTGCTATCATCTGTCACTTTTTAAGTCTCAGTTTAGGTAGAGTAGCAAGTAGTAAGAATTCCTAAATACTAGTTCCCCAGAAACAGAGATGATTATGGCTGAATATAACCTACTATAATGTATAATGACTATAGTTACTAAAAATCTGAGGTTTTGAAAAGGAAATCCTAAAGACAAGCTTTAAAAAGATTATAGTAAAAATTATAATACATAAAATTATCTTGCAAATTGTGTTATATTGAGGCCAGATGCTTAAATTAACATTTTATTCATTAAATACAATCTTTACTTTGTAAAGCTTAAAAATACTAAGTGTATGGTTTCAGCTGGCTGATGGCTACCCTCAGTGGAACAACTTACCAGTAGGATTCAGACTTTAGATTGTCAAAACACATGGTCAGTGATAGTTCTTACTCGTAATTTTCAATTACTTTGAGAAATACCACTTAAGAAAAAAAACTGGATTCTCTCCATCTTCTGTCCATTTTTAAATTGTATGTTAAAATTTAAACATTTAAATTATATGTGCCAGGTAACTCACTTTAATGATGTCCTCCTGAGTGTTGTTGATATGCTTATGTGTGGAAGAATTCCCAGTTGGTATCTTTGCTTGTGTCAGTCTCTTTTGTGTACTTTCTATATTGAAAATGGTTTAGTGGGGAATTGGATCAGCTTTATTTAATTGCCTAATTTATAATGGTTGAACAATATAAATTAAACACGCTTTTAAAAGACTATATTGCACATGATCTATTTCTCCTGTCGAACAGTTTGGAGAGAGCTATTCAGGGATAAAATCATTTAAAAATAAAGCTGACCTTTGTTATAAAATTCTGGGTTAATAATAGTGTTTTAGCTGTCTTAAACCAAGGAATTATTATTCCTGTTGAAACTATAGGATTTTTTAAACTTGTAACTAATAAACTTAGATCATCACTTTCATGTCTTAACTGTACACCTAAAGAAATTGACATTTTGCATCCTGGATTTTTCATCCTAAATGAAAAACCTAGTGATACTTTGATTCTTTAAAATTATCTTTTGTTAGTTATGTCTTGTCAGTTTGTCAAATACGTTGACAAGGATTGACCCCCCCCAAAAAAAAGAAATTCCATACTCATTAGCAGTGATTCCATCCTCCTTCCCCTGGAATATACTTAACTACATTTTTGTCTTTATGGATTTGCCTACTTTAAATATTTCATAAGAAAAAATCATAGTTTTGTAGGCATAACTAATTTCACATCATTTTTTCTTCCATGGGTATTAAGAAGTTCACTCCTTTTTGCCACTAATCTGTTCTGTGTATAGAAATGTTTTATTTATTTACTCACCAGCTGTTTGGGTTTCTTCTTTCCAGATTCTATATCATACATACAGTTGTGTACAAGTTTTTGAATGTACATCTATCTTCATTTCTTTTTAGGCACTTATCTAAGAGTGAGATAGCTGCCTCATATGGATAATTTTTAATCTATTTTACTGCCAGACAGTTAACCAAAGTAATTCCATAATTTTGTATTCCCACTAGCAAGGTATAAGGGTTCCAGTTTCTTCACAATATCACCAGCACTTGTTACTATCTTTTTGAATACAGCTACCCCAATGTGAAGTGGCATAAAACTGTTAAGTAGTTTTAATTTGCATTTCCCTGATGACTAATGATGAGCCACTTTGCCATTTGTGTATCTTTGGAGCCCATGTTTTAAAAGTTGTCTTAACTGTTGAGGACCCCCATCCTTTTTAAAACTCATCCCTCAATTTTTCATGGCTATCTAGGAAGCAAACCTTGCTCAATCTGCGTTAATATCCTGTTAAATAACGCCACAAAGTACCAGTTACTTCCTGAGAGTCAGCAGATGGCAGTGCTAAGCACATAATACAGAGTATTTTTATGTTCAGTATAATTGGGAGCAAACCATGAGAAAAATGCAGAAATCCCTAAGGTTAGGAGGGCATTTGACTCTACTGTACACTTGACAGGTACCCACTTTTATATCTGCCTTAAGTATTTACCCAAGTTCAGATTTATCTATTAAAGGATTCTTGCTCTTGCTGTTGACTTCCCACAATTTTTGTTACTACAGTATAACCTCTTAAACATCTTGTATGATTTGTGGGAATATTTGTCTGAAAGAAACAAAAGCAGCCAGTTAGCCTTCTACTAGTTGTGACTCCTTTATTCTTTTAGAATAGACATTGACATTGTATTTAGGTGAATACAAATACCAATATTATATTTGAGCTTAACTAACTCAAGAATAAATTTTATAGCAAGTCCTAATTAACTCCATGTTTATATTAATGTACCTTTAAACTAAAATAGTTAATGAGGTTAAGGATATAATTTTCCTAAATATAACTAAGCTGTAGTGAAACAAGCCAGAAAGAAAAGGAAAAATACCAGATGGTTTCACTCAGCAGGAGTATAACAGACCAGGCGAGAAAAATAATAGTGAACAGCTATATACCAGAAACATTTTGTGGGGGTAGAGTTGGGGATGAGATCAAAAACTAGTGGGAGGGAGGGGAGAAAATGCACTGGACTATGGTGATGGCTTACAGGTGATTTGGTGATGGGAAACCCACGGCGATTACAACTGAGATGAAAAAATGGACAAAATGATGTAAAAATAAACATAATATTTAAAAAATTAACTAAGCTGGTCATATAAACAAATGTCACTTGGAGTTTACGGTATCCAAATACTAACTGCTGATCCTTGAAAAAGATCTGCTGATAGATTATTTCTAATCATGTTCTCAGAATTCAATCTTCTGATGGGTAATCAGACTCCAGAACAGATTAATTTTCCCTTTACCAGATCTTTAGATAATGCTTTCGAATATAATTTGTTCTATTACTCGAATATAATTTGTTCTATTATCTGAGTTTTCATATTAATTTTAACCAAAGTTGAAACTAGATCACTACCTCACTCCATTCACAAAAATCAACTTGAAGTGGATTAAAGACCTAGACATAAGAACGGAAACCATAAAATACCTGGAAACAAAGATGGGCCAAACATTACACAACATACACTTCAGCGACATCTTTAAAGATAGAGCACCCAATGCCACAATTGTGAAAGCAAGGATAAATAGGTGGGACTACATCAAGTTAAAGAGCTTGACATGGAAGCAGCCCAAATGCCCAAAAGTAGATGAATGGATTAAAAAGATGTGGTACATATATACAATGGAATATTACTCAGCAACCAAAAAAAAAGAAACACACGTCTTTTGCAGCAACTTGGATGGAGCTGGAAAAGATCATGCTTAGTGAGATAAGCCAGAAAGAAAAAGAAAAATACCAGATGGTTTCGCTCATAGCAGGAGTATAATGGACCAGGTGAGAAATAATGAACAGTCACATACCAGAGATATTTTATGGGGGTGGAGTGGGGAATGGGATCAAAAACGGGGGGTTGGGGGAGGAATGCAAAGTGCACTGGACTATGGTGATGGCACATGGGTGACTTGGTGATGGGAAACCCACGGGGATTACAATGGAGATGAAAAAAAAATGTACAAAAGATGTGGAAAATAAACTATTATATAAAAAAAAAAAAACAAAAAATTTAACCAAAGTTGGTAACCAATGTTTCCATTATCAAAACATTTCAGCATACCCCCAGGAATCTTAAGCACTTGTTCACAATGACAAAAGTCACTTTCACTTTCATGACCAACCAGAAATTCCACAAGTTTGGGAATGGTTCTTAAGTATTCAAGAGTGTTTTCTAACCCTCCATTAATTAACCTTTCATTTTTGGTTCAGTTATACTTCTCAATTTTCTGTGATGTAATTATAATTTGTTACATCTATTTGCATGGGCTTTCTCCCTCCACTGTACATATTTTCAATTGAAAAAACTTAAGTGTTATTTTAATTTCCCAGATTATCAGTTCCTCATTCACTAAGGCTTTTTTTTTTTTTAAATGAAGATCAACTTTTTTTAAAAAAGATTTTATTTATGCATACAGAACTGGGATACAAGCCAGAGGTGGTGAGAGGCTTCACCAGATTCAGAGTGGAGAGCAGAACAGGCAGATCAACAAAGTACATTGTTGAGGGGAGCAGGAGGCGACACAGAAGAGGTCCCCATATCAACTTTCTTTTAAAACCCATGGGATCTACAGTGATTCCCCTCACGTATTTCGTAGTTTTAACTTTACCTATAGACAATTATCAAAATACAAGCTCTTTTCAAAACAACAGCTTTCAGTTAATTCTTTGACTTCTTGTTTTCAGTTTACTAACTTCTGCTTTAAGTTATACTGTTTCTTCACTTTGGCTTACTCTGGACTTAATTTGCTTCTTTCTATTTTCCTAAAGTAGTAACTGATTTTAGATGTTTAAGTTTTGTTTTCAACTGAGAACATAAAAGGTGAACGGGAAAAACTTTCAAGGAAATTGATTTAACAAGATATCATAATTACATCACAGAAAAGCAACTGAATAAGACTTAATAGGGATTACTGACCAAAAAATTGAAAAGCTTATTAGACCAAGGTATAGAAAACAGTTCTACCCTCAACTCTGCTGCTGCTAGTCAGCTTTCAAGGGAACAATTCCTCTTCAGTTTCTCTATTAACATACAATTATTAGACAGAATACTTTTAATCTAAGGGTATAATCAACTGTTTTGTATAATCGGGGAGGTTACAGAGACCTCTCATTGTTTTACCAATGTGATTGTTATGAGAACAGTAAGCACTGATTCTTGATAGTGTTAAGTATTTCACCAAGAGTACCAAGCATGTCAGTAAGTTAGGACAGTGATAGTGATTTTATTGTTTGCGTTGCTTGCAAAATGCTCTAACAAAAAATATTAAAACTCAGGGAAAGGAATTCTAGGGGTTACATCTCCATTTATACTTAACTCACTTGTATTTGGAAAAAACTTTTCAATGGTCACTTAAAAAACACTTATCGTCAGTAAGACTGAAGAAAATGTAATTTCTTAGGGTAAAAAGTATGCCATGAACTAAGTGCTCAAAAATAGAATAGGAAATCTCACAAATCCTTTTTAAGCCTAATTAATGAAAACCAGGCAATTTTACTTTAACTGAGTCATTTCCAAGCCATGCAGTAATTTACCTTACATAACAAGATGATTCTAACAGTGAACCTATTAAAGTTCTGTCTCCTACTTGAATCCCATAAAATTACATGTTATACCACATTTTTCTTATTAAAAAAAAAAAAGAGAGACCTTTCTTATTTCAAAGATTGAAGAGTTCATCTAGCGGTCTAACAGTGGCATTTACATCAGTGACACAAGTTAAACACATACTTTATCCCAGCAACCTATTTCTGAGAATCAACTTCTGAATTTCAATTTCATTTAAGTTTTTTTATCATGCAAAAATATAAACTTTACCAAATAAGCATGTAAATTTCAATCTGAAGTATATCTAAATGTATAAAATACATAAAGCAGACAAAATTAAGTTACTCATAAAGCTATCAAGTGAAGTCCTTAATAGTTTAATAGACGTAGTCATCAATACAGTACATTCCTTTTACTGACCATGAAAAGGAATTAAGTCATATGCAACATTCTGCATTTCTGAAATACGTGATACAAAAGTTCTTATGAACTTTGTCTTCTATATAGGAGAGCAGCCTCATTGTCTATATAATTTTGCTATGCCATGCAAATAGCACTCGAATTTTTCTTGAAATGTTAGCTGTTAAACATCTGTATAAATACACACTCTGCAACAGTTCATTTTGTTACTGCTTCTTGTTTGATCTGACTTTAAAAATGTATGGAATCAAATGGTTTATCAACGAAAACTAACCTTATGAAGCTATTTCCACTGTTACACATGAATGAATGACATCAACCTAAACTTTATTTCCTATTTAAGCAATCATTAAACTCACTAGGCTCAGTACTCTTTGTTCACAATATGTAAAATAAGTAAGAAAAATCATTCCAAATATCTTCAGGACTCAAAAAGAACATACACAAGTATATCTTTTATCATTTTATTAGGAATAATTCCAAATGGGTTATAAAGAAAACTTATTGAGTTTGATGAGTTTTCCAAAATCTCTTAAAGAAGATATGTTCACCAGTAAACAATTAAAATATCAGCAGAATTATCATATAGTGGGCAAAGAGGCTGATACCAAAGCAACATGCAACATAAAAAAGATACAATATAAAGGAAGACAATCTGCTGACTATTAAAAATCATCTTAATAGGAACTCTTTGCAACCAGCACAGAAATATCAAACCCAAACCACACCAAAGTAAGCTTGACTGGTGGAAGCCAGGAGTCAAAAATGGGGGAAAAATAAGTTCCTCAGTATAAGAGATCTGGGTAGTGTTTTTGGAACCTTTCCCTGGCTGACACAAGCAGTATTAGAAAATTTTTTTGGCAAGGGAGAAAAATAAATACAAATGGAATGCTACATTTCAGCAGACTGTCCCAGGAATGATAAAGGTATCAGTACTAAGTAGCAAGGGGATAACTTTTTAACATCATTTATTGTGGGCTAAAAAACATTCAAAACATATTTATTTTAAGGTGTCACAACAGCTATGTCCAGGCATTGAGGCTTAAGGGTAGAAAGTAAAAAGAGGATACTTTTTTCCAAGTTAAGGAGAATTTCTTTAAAGCCAAGCATATTGCTAAATAGCAATATTATACTTGGCAATCAATAATTGGCAACAATATAAGTTTAAACGCTGTAATATTCTGCCCAAACCAGTCCCAGATACTGTTTAATAACCAAGATGCAAACTAATTTTGTTGTAACAAGCCTAGACCAATTCTATCAAATATGTCCTTGGTTGGATATCCAGTTTCATTTAACGTTTTGAAAGCTCATTTGACAGCCAGTCAAGTCCCTCGTACAGACCGGTTCCTTGTGTAGCACAAGTGGCTTGAACATACCACTATAAAGAAAGAACAAGAAAATACTTAAGTATTTATACATCTATATATAAATAAGATTATACGTAACAACAGCATCTAAAATGTCTTAATCAAAAATTACTTCCCCCCCCAATTGAACAGGGCTCTTATTGAGTCAACAGTTATTATAAATGTATACAAAAATAAGAAAACAAAAAAATAAAACACAAAGTCATGATAAATGAATAAAAATGGTAAAGCACTACATCTAATAAATGACTAATTTTACATTTAATTATTTTGAAACTGAAGATTGGGAGTATTTTTACATCCTCTTATAAAATTCTCGTATCTAAAGCCATTCCTACCTATTCATTAAATTTTATCAACTATTCACTACTTATTCTGGGGGGAGGAATCACAGGAAGATTAGTGACTAATAAGCTACCCACCTAGTCCTTATAACCCACTTGTTTTCCATAAAACTAAGTTTAGAACAGTAGAGGCAAATATCTGAAAAAGCAGGTGTGGTTGACAGTTTAGAGGCAAGCTTTCTAGATAACTTTACTATTTTCAATAGTTCACACTACAAAAAAGGTCCACTTTTGATCTCCAGGAACTATATAAAATGCCATGAAAAGTTACAGGTACCAAGAAAAAAATATGCAAAGCAATGTAAATTACCTTTAAGAAAGTTTGTTTTTATTTTCTCTATTGATAATACTAGACATTTTGAGGATAAATATTATCAAAAATCAGGTAAATGATGGCACTTAAATCTTTAGAACCTTAAAGGTTATATATTTAAAGTTAAAAAATAATTATCCTAATAATTCTAATAGGTTAAATATGAACCTCCAAGCACTTACTGTTCTGTTACGGAGAGACTGAAGACCTAATTTATCTGTCATTTCACTGATAGCCATAGCATTCGGCAAATCCTGTTTGTTTGCAAAAAGCAGTAATACTGCATCTTGCAATTCATCTTCCTGAAGCTGGAAATAAAGACATTAATAGTTACCAAACTGGACTCCTAATATTTTATCAACATTAAGTACATTATTAAACATCATACAACTTCTCTACATAACATTCAGGTACTCTTGACACTTAAATCTCATTACATTCTACTTAAAAATCCAAAGCAAATAATCATTTGCCTTCATGTGAAGAATAACTGTTTACAAATTAATCACCTATACTCTATTCAAGGAAATCCAGCATTCATGACCAACTACCTAGGGTTAAGATTGTATAGAATAAATATATATGGAAGCAAACATTTATGGAAGGATCTTAAAGTACTAAGTAGTAAAAGTATTTAGGTCATGAATCTTTTTGAATTTTTAAAAAAAAGATTTATTTATTTATGCATATAAGAACTGGGGTACAGGTGCAGGAGTGGGGAGACGCCGTGTGTGTGAAGATTCACCAGAGACAGAGTAGGGAACAGAACCGGTGGACTGACTGAAATACACTGCTGAGGGAAGCAGCAAGCAAGACAGGGACAGGGGAGGTCTACCACCCTATATGGTCACCTCCCTGGCCAGACTGCATTTGCGTTGCAGTGACTGCTGACAACTTCATAGTGCTGTGCTTTAACCCACTGCACCACCAGGGAGGGCCCTCTTTTTGTTTATTCTTTTATCTTTCTGGACTTTATTCAAGTGACAAGGGGACCAACAATAAAATGATTAGGTTATTAATAACATCATGGAAAATATAAGAATAATACCAAAGTGAAGGCTATAGGAATGAAGCACATTATTAACATGGAACCCTTAAAATTTATGCTAAGTGAAAAAGACATTAATAAAAGCCACATATTGTATGGTTTCACTTACATGAGTTTACAGAATAGACAAATGTTAGAGAGACCAAAAGAAGATTACTAGGTGTCAGGGTTGGGTGTGTAATCAGGTTTCAGAGAAGAGAGAATGAATGCTAGTGGCTACAGGATTGGGAGGGGAAGAGATAAGGACAATGTTATAAAATTAGATTTTAGTGATGATTTAAAATTTTGGATACTAAAAACCATTAACTTGTATTATTTAAATGAGTATAGCTTATGGCATATGAATTATATCTCAATAAAGCTACTTAGGAAAAAATTAATAGAGGACAGTGATATTTAACTCAGACAAGAAACCATGGAGTGACTTTTACATAAATACTTTGGTTTTATAAAAAACCTCACTCTACTCTTAGTAACAATAAACTAGAAATGACTTCCTTTAAATCAATATTTTACTGGATACAAGTTTGAAGTAAGTCCTCCATCAGAGAAAATTCAATATGAATATATAAAAAACCTTAATCATTATATAAGTGCCATCAACTAAAAGGCTGCTACCTTCAGGTGGAATTATCACAGTTGCTATGACAAGACATTTCCAAGCAACTATAGTCGTATCATAAGAAAAAAATGAACTGATAACTTTGGAAACTAGATTCCTAGTCTATGTCAAAAAACTACAAAACTAGGGGCCACCTTGGTGGTGCAGAGTTAAAGCACAGCATAATCAAACTATGGCCAGTCAGGGAGCTAATAACCCATATAGCACAGCATGCTGCTCTCCTCAACAGTGTATTTTAGTAGATCTGCCTGTTCTGCAGAGTGATGAGTCCTCTCACTTTCCGCACCTCTGGGCTTGTAGACATAAATAAATATTGTTTAAAAATTATAAAACTATCGATTTTATATAAATAATACAATGGACTGGTTTAAAGCAGATGTCCTGAACAAGAGAATTACATCAAATTACCCACAGAGCATTGTAAAAGCAAGCTAGGTCTTCTTCCCAACTTAGTGAGTAGCTCTTAGGGGATTTTTATTTGCATGCTTAGGAACCTGTGGTGATGTAACTAATTAGCTCAAGGTTCCTCCTGGCTCTAAAAAATTTTCCCTGCAATCCCATCAAAATTAAAATGTATCAGCCACTAACACCGCACCACCGTCACCAAAAAAAAAAAAAAAAAAAAGACTACAAACAAACTCATGAATAATAAAGCTTAAAAATACTCATACCATTTTCTGCAGCACTTCTGCTCCTTCCTCAATTCTTTCACGATCATTGCTATCTACCACAAAAATAAGACCCTGGGGAAAAATTGTTTTTAAATTATAAGTTATAGTTAAAATTCATTAAGTTAAATATCAAGAGTTCTACATTAGTATTTACAACAGCCAAGTGATGAAATCAACCTAAGTGCAATGACAGATGTGTGGATTAAGGTGGTACATACACTATACCACTCAGCAATAAAGAAGATAAACTCTTGCCATTTGTAATGGCATGGATGGAACTGAAGGAGATTAAGTCATAAGAGACAAATATCAGATGATTTCACTCATATGTGTAATATAAACAAAGGAACAGATAGAATAAACCCTAGAAATTTGACTTAAAGAAATGAGACCAGAAGAAACAGGTAGGAAGAAAAGTATGGAAAGGGTCTATCAGACTGGTGGAGGACTGCAGTACCTTAGCGATGGTTGTGGTACGCCACATACATTTGAAGAGGTGTGAACCTACACTTATTGACTCATATACCATGTTCTATACCATCATGGCCTCAATAAAAAATACAATTTTTTGAAGTTCCCTGGAGGAAGAAGGAATTCTGTCTCCAGACTGTCTTCAAGACTGAAACATCCACTCTTCCCTATATCTCCAACTCTTCCTTATGTCAGTTTGCTCTGCAGACTTTGGACTTGACAGTTCCCACATCATGTGAGTCAAGTCATTAAAATAACCCTTTTATATGTATATATTTTCATACATCTTGTTGGTTTTAATCCTCTGAAAAACTCCACAGTTTCTCTAATTAATGACAGGCTGTTCTATAAGGCATAGTCATTCTTCTACCTTTATGAAAAAATCTTCTAGGATCTATATACATGTTTTATATGTATTTAGGACTGAGTAAGTAAAATTGATAAACACTTTCTCATCAATAATAAATAAAATTGAAAATGAGAAAAAAATATGTAATTTTTTAAAGTTGTATTAGGAAGACGATGTCTCTTAAAAAAGAGACCAGTGCTCTAACTATGGAAAATAAATACACATTAGTTGGGATTTTAACTTATTTCTTCAAATCAGAAATCTCTTAAACTTTTTATCAGCTACACTAAATATAAATTTTACCCCTTTCTCTATGCCCTCACATGAAGGTAATCAAAATAACAAAATGGTTACACAGTAGGGACAAAGAGAAAAGAATGAAACACATATGTTTAAAACTTATGAATTTACCACGTAAATAAAAATGAGTTAACTTACTCATAGTGTTTAAAAAAAATGGTGGGGGGGGGCAGGCATGAGCTACAGTAATTTTTATATCAAGAAAAGATAGCTTTACTCCATAAAGTTGCCTATCAACTTTGGAAACACAAAGTCTTAACCAAAATATATCAGGAAAAAGTCAAGATTCTCAACAAAAGGAAAATAACAATTCTTAAAGGCATCACAAATATAATTCCATACTAGAAAAAGAAATGGAATGGAGAAGCACAACTAGTTGAATTTTAAGACTTATCACAAATTGTCTTCAGCTATTATTTATAACTACAATAAGTCCACTGAGGGCAAAGGACATCATCATTTTCTGTTTTCCCATTATAGTAATATAATGTAGTAATATATAGTATAAACTCGCCAGGAAACCTATTACTTGTTTTAGACTATTGTGATTACTTAACAATTTTCTTTGTTCTACATCCTACAATGGAAAAATAAGCCCTCTCTCAATCAACAACAAAGAATGATCCAGCCAAAATATCGATAATGTTGCTACCGAAACAGCTTTATTTCTCAAGTAAGATCCCAAACCAGCAGCATCAGTACCATAATCCAAGAACTTGCTAGAAATACAAAATTATAGGCCTTGTCAGGCCCTATGGAGTAACAAAGTCTCTATAATCCAAGAATTTGCTAGAAATACAAAATTATAGTAACAAAGTCTCTATTTCAACAAATACCAGCTGACTTATATGCACAATGAAGTCTGATAATACTGATACTTATTTATGTCCGTAGAAATTCTAATTTACATTGGTTTATGTCCCTAGAAATTCTAATTTACATGATCTGCAATTATGACTAAGGATTTTAAAGTTCACCAGGCAATTCTAACGTGCAAACTTCTGCTTTACAGCAACATTAAGGACTTTAGTATGTATGAAGAGAGCAGACCTATCTTACATTTTTCTTCATGTATTTTTCATAAAGTAAATACTTAACTGGCTTACCTAAAGAACTATTAATTTTATTACATTTATTAAAAATTATGACAGTAAAACTAAATTAAGATGGAATAAGTAGAAGTGATATGACACCTAATTCTATCTTGAGACTCTTCCAAAATATTGCTATGATGGCTCCATAATTCTTTCACCCCTCAAAGGCATGGGTGAGACAGCTCACTGAAGATATGTGAAGTAGTGATAAGAAAAATGCCAACTCATATAGTAAATGCAAAAATTCACATAAACAGTAGGTATTACTTTAGAGCATGACATATAAAGAGAGAAGTTACAAAAATGTAGAATTCCTTACCTGGGTATTTTGGAAGTAATGCCTCCATAGAGGTCTAATTTTATCTTGACCACCAACATCCCATACTGTGAAACAAATGTTCTTATATTCTACTGTCTCCACATTAAAACCTACAATAGCAACAAAAACTAGTGTGACTGCTGTGTACAATGCCATTAAGAAAATAAACTCCTAATTCATTCAGAATTGGTCTTTCTGGTGTCCTTATCAGGACACTGATAAGGAGGGATACTATCACTACATTGTCTACAATCACAGGATATATACCAAGAGTAAGTCCTAAGGTGGCAAACTACAGACTTTGGGTGTATGATATGTCATGTTAAGTTCATAGGAGTGATGACTGAGAAGAGGGGAAGCTCCGGATACCAAGGCAGGGCAATTTTTTAATCTTCTATTTTTCTACGAACCTAAGAATGCTCTTTAAAATTTTTTTTTAAACGTTAAAACTAAACTGTATTCTATTTCATTTTACAAAAATACATTAGGATATAAAGTTATCTGTAAACTTTCTTACCAATAGTAGGAATGGTGGTGACTATCTCCCCTAATTTCAGTTTATAAAGAATGGTCGTCTTGCCAGCAGCATCCAATCCAACTAAAAGAAGACAATATAGATTTTAATTCTAGACCAAAAGCACACACTAAGCAATAACTTTACAACAAATTTGTACTTTGAAAATAAAATGTTCAAGTCACAAATGAACTAGAAATGAAATCATATTATTTCCAATCCTCCTAAACACTTCCTACAGAAAAAAAATGTTATTCAACTGTTTTTTCTTATTCTACACCAGGAGAGAGAGGATGTAGTACTAAAAATAAAAAAGCATTTTGGCTTAGGCTTTTATCTCTAGATTGGCTTTGCACAAACCAGTTGAGGGTCTTTGAAGTGGTCACTTGAGGAAACTAAAGCTGGAGAAATTAGATATAAAATAAAGGGAATGGATCAATCTAAGACCTCTTTCAGCTCAAATACTTACTAATTTTATGAGCTACTACCATTTTCAAAATCTCAAATTAGAACATGAAGCAGAGGGAAAAAAACAATTGAATGAAGACTTATTTATAAGACTCATAAACTTAATTTCCCTTACTTAAGCACCAGTTTTGGGTAAAAGGTCATGATGTTGGGAGGCAACATAATTATACCACTTTTTTTTTTTAAGATTTATCTATTTATGCATACAAGAACTGGGATACGGTGAGAGGTGCAGGGGGATGAGAGGATTTACCAGTAACAGAGAGCTGGGGAACAGAACTGGCAGACTGACTGAAGTACAGTACTGAGAGGAGCAGCGGGAGAGATAGAAGAGGTCTGTTGCACCATGTGCCTGAGATTGCCATGTGCCTGAGATCAAACTTGTGTTGCTGAGGTTGTGGACGGCCTCATAATGCCGTGCTTTAACCCCTTGTATCACCAGGGAGGCCCCTATACACTAAGTTTTTATAATAAAGGAAGATGATGATGTCAACCTTACCCCTACCTAAATCTATTTCAACAACAAATGTGCAAAAATGAGAAAAGACTAGTCCATGTGAGTTGTAAAAACAGTCTATAATTTATCTCCAATTTAAGTATGTTTCTTTTCTTTTTCTTTTTTTTTTTTTAACGATTACTGTGACAAGATACAAGTGGAGAGGAATGTCTTGGTTTCTGATTAAAAGAAAAAAAAAGTAGAACCAAAAGATATACCTCTTTATTAAAAAGACAGTAAAGAGCAAAATAACTGCTTATTTTTACTATAAATCAAAACCACAGTTAGCTTTCACAAGTCAAATATAAGTAGTTAACAATCTCACTGAAAGTAACAGCTTAAGAGCAATGAATTTGGACACTGATTTACACTATCACATTTGGAAATCAACTGAGTAATGATCTGATGTTTTAATATTTAAATCAAAGTATGACTTGACACATGAAAATAATGCTATTACGCTTGATCTTAGCCAAAAGGCCGAGAAGCAATAAAAATAATGCTATTAAGTTAACAAGGAATCATTTCATCTATTTTACATTCCTGCAAGTTTTTATCAGTTAGTCCAAAACACATCTGAAGGCTACAGGCATCTGAAGGCTACAGGCAATTCAGACTCCTTACACCCCACCCCATAACGCTTTTTGCTATGTACTCTATCAAAAGGTGTTTGGAAAATTAAGGTATTTTATACCTTCTTTTACTGTGTCCTCTAGTGAAACTGTTTAATACCTCATTATCCTGGGAATCAAGTTTTTATCTTCCAAATTACTGTGACACTTATTAAAATGAGCAGCTGACTCAAATTCTCATTTATGAGCCTAAGAAACAACTGCTAACTAAAGGAGGTGTTCTGTTTTTTCACTTGGGCCAGTATCAGAAACATCAGAAAACATAATTCTAGAAAATAGCTATCTCAAAGGTTCACATCTTCAGTAAAAATACTAAAACAGGGGGGAAACAATCTGATCACTTCATTGTTTGAAAAAGCTAAGAGTCTTACTGCAAGAGAAAGTCTTCATAGGTATTTTGATAAAACTTTTAAATAAAGCAAATTTGACCTTTTCCACTAAGATCAAATCAGAAGATTGGAAATGCTGATTAGAAAAACCACTGGATTATTCTTTGAGAATTATGGCACATGCCACAAGCAGTCCAAATGGACCTGATACCCCCAATAAAAACAATGCAAATCAGTTTTTGCTCCCCACTGTCTCTAGTGAATCCTCTCACTGCCCCTGCACCTCTAGCCTATACCCCAGTTCTGTATGCATAAATAAGTCTTAAAAAATAAAAAAAAAAAAACAATGCAAATCCAAAAAGACTGAGAAATTCAGAATAAAGTGTGGACGTATAAATATCTTAAAAGTTATAGAAATGCATGTAGATAATCTAACTCTTCAGTAAAAAGTTTTATAATTTGTTTTTATGCAAATTATATCTTCTGTATCTTTTTTTTTTAATAGCAGGTGTGTTACTTTCATTAAAAAAAAGAAATTCCCAAATATACTTTCTTTATTAAAATGCTGGGTTGGTAATGAGGTCTGTCAGGTAAGGAGAGGTAGGTCTTGCCCTGTGGATCACCTGGGGGTGGGGGAATGTAACTAGCACTGAAGGGGCTGTGGCTGGCTTGCAGTGCTGCAATTTAACTGTTGCACCACCAGTGAGGGCCCGGGCTGGATAATTTTTCCTGATGCACCTATCAGGAAGATGACTGCTTATGAGTCTTAAGTGTTTGCATCCCAAATAGTGCTATATAATTGAAAACCAAAAGTTTGTTTAAATACATATTTCTACAGTGAAACTTATGACACATAAATTAATATACTCATTACATAGTTCTTCACTCAAAAACACAATTTTGTGCCACTTTAGTTAATTGTAATGTATTTCCTTAACATTGCAATATTTGGCAAAATGAAACTATAACCAACTCTGAACTAGCCAAGATAAGTCAGACACTAATCTGTACAGTCCAGTAATGTTCTCCCTCCCTCCCACTCCCATAAACAGGTCACTGTATTGAAAGATACACAGGAATTACTTGTTAGCCAGACCTGCACTTTAACCAAATTGTTAACAGCAGCAAAACTTCCTAAAATCTTTGCCAATTGTTAAAAAAAAAAGATGTCTATGAAATCATGGTAGCAAGAAATACTTTAAGAAGCTAGATTCCTACTGCAACTTTGAGGAAAAAAACAAATGCAGGGAGACTGGGAAGAACAACAATATATCTTCAGACAAGTAAAATTTCAAGTAAGATACATTTTCATTTTCCTTTATCTTTCAAATTTTCTTTTGAGAAATCTCTAACTACAACTGTATTGTAACTTAAAAAGCAATTTAAATGTCAGTGCATACTATGTTTCAAAGTATAATACCAGGTAATTCCTTACATTTTTGTAAATTAATCTCCACAATAACCCTCAAAAATGTCCAAACCCTTGGTCTGTGGAGAAATCACAACCTACATATATATAGTTTCTGAAAAGGTAAAACAGGTTGGCTGCTTTGAAAAAAGCTTATAGGTGTCTCCAAAATGTTAAATGTAATTAACATGTAACACAATAATTTTATTTCTAGAAAATTTATCTATTTACCCTAGAAAAGTTTAAAACATACCCAACACAAAGACTTCTTTGTAAATTTTCAGACGAATCAATTAGACAAAAAGTGCAACAACCAAATTTCCATCAACTGAGAAGACAACCAAAATGTGTACATGGACTTACAATGGAATTCAGTAACAGAATGGAATGAAAAGCAAAAACATGCTATGAATGAACCTTGAAAACATGCCTGGTAAAAGAAACTTAACACAAAGGCCACATATTATGATTCATAGTATGATATCCAGAAGAGATTAAGTCCACAGAAATAAGTAGATGAATGACTGCAAAAGAACTGCTGAGGGGAATTAAGGGGAAGAGTGACTACTAAATTGTTTGGGATTTCTTTCTAAGCTGATGAAAATGTTCTGAATTCTACACAATGGTGATGGTTACAAAACTGTGAATATACTAAAAATCACTGAATTGTATACATAAAGGTGGATTACCTAACATGCATTTTTATAACTTTCAAGATATTTATATAGATGAATTACATCTCATTAAAAAACATCAATAGGCCCTCCCTGGTGGCGCAGTGGGTTAAAGCACAGCACTGAGAATCTAAAGCCCTTCCACATGAGTTCGATTCCCGCCTGCCCTGGAGGTGACCACATGGTGTGGCAGACCTCTCTGGACCCACCCGCTGCTCCCCTCAGCAGTGTACTTCGTCGATCTGCCTGTTCTGTTCCCCCACTCTGTCTCTGGTGAAGCTTCTCACCGCCCCTGAGCCTCTGGCCTGCACCCCAATTCTGTATGCACAAATAAATAAATTTTTAAAAGAAAAAATATATATATATCAACACACCCTTCCTAGTGGCACAACTGGTTAGGGCGCAACACTGCAAGCTAACCACCACAGCTGCTTCAATGTAAGTTCAATTCCCAGACCTGGAGGTGATCCACGTGGCATGGCAGACCACTGCACCACCCCTCCCTCAGCAAAGTACTTCCTCTGTCTGCCTGTTCTGCTCACCACTGTCTCATGAATCCTCTCACTGCCCCTGCAACTCTGGCCTACATCTCAGTTCTGTATGCATAAATAAATAAATCTTTAAAAAAAAGCAAAACACCCTCAATCTGACACCAGACTGCTCAAATAGTTATTTATATACTGCCATCTGTATTTACTTTTTCTGTGGACATGACTGTATCTTCATATTTCATCTAGTTCCTCAATAATTTGACCATCAAAATTGAAACTGTATAGAAAGTGTGTAGAAAACTTATAATTAGCTTAGAGTGGAGATTTCATGCACTCTGATCAATGTGTTAGCTAGCAAATTATCAGCATCTCTGCCAAATATACCTTGCTAATAACGCAAAAGGTTGCATCTAAGGATGGCTCTATCAACTTCTAATCTTCAACTAAAGATTTTTGCCTTTTCTGTTGTTTTCTTATATTCTCAGAACTAATCAAAGGACCTTTTTCTTTAAAAAGTGTAGAAATTGTGGCCCTCCCTGGTGGCGCAGCAGGTTAAAGCACTGCACTGAGAAGCTAAAGCCACTTTCACATGAGTTTCCCCGCCTGCCCTGGAGGTGACCACATGGCACGGCAGACCTCTCCTGACCCACCTGCTGCTCCCCTCAGCAGTGTACTTCATCAATCTGCCTGTTCTGTTCCCCACTCTGTCTCTGGTGAAGCCTCTCGCCACCCCTGAGCCTCTGGTCTGTACCCAGTTCTGTATGTACAAATAAATAAATCTTTTAAAAAAAAAGTGTAGAAATTGTTTCCAACTAGGAGAAAATGCTCATAATAAATAATCTAAGTTATAAAAGAGAACACAATAAATTACCTCCAGCACAACAATTCTGAAGGAATAAACTTTCTTTTAAGAGTAGCAAAGGGCTAAAGAGCTGCACTGCAAGCAAACCACAGCTGCTTCACTGCTAGTTTGATCCCCAGCCCTGGAGATGATCCACACGGCTCAGCAGACTTCTCCTGGCCCACCCACTGCTCCCCTCAGCAGTGTACCCCCTCAATCTGCCTGTTGTGTACTCCACTCTTGTCTCTGGTGAATTCTCTCATGGCTCCTGCACTCCAGTTCTGTATGCATAAATAAGTAAATCTTTAAAAAGAAAACAGAATGAAATTTTCTACTGCAAAAGTACCACTAATCAACACTTTATTTTCAGGATTTCTAACTTTAACAAAAAGAACATATACATAATAAACAAATTTACAAAATGTAATGGAGTAAAGTGTGAAATACCATTCTCCAGTTTGAAGTTTCAGTTAAAATATTGATATTATTTTCAAAATGACAAAACAAGATTCTTCCTCCTGATCTCTGAGCTCCCCAAACCAGTCACATATAAAATAATTCAGAATTATACTTACACTAGCGATGTTTTGGAAAACAACACTGTCAATTTTCGAAAGACAAGAACTCACATAAAGATAGAATTCCTCTACTATCTATCTACTACTAGAGGGCTGTTTTCAGATTAAAACAAAATGTGGGGAATCATTTACCAAAACTACATCTTTTAAAAAAAATTTATTTATTTATGCATCAAGAACTAGGGTACAGGCCAGAGGTGCTGGGGGGTGGGGGAGAGAAAATTTTTTTCTTGTTTCCTAATAGCTTCAAAAAATATCTTTTTTAAAAAAATAAATAATGTTTGTTTTTACATCATTTTGTGCATTTTACCATCTCAGTTGTAATCCCCATGGGCTTCCCATCACCAAATCACCCATGTACCAGCACCATAGTCCAATACATTCCCCCCCCCACTGTTTTTGATCCCATTCCCCACTCCCTCCCCATAAAATATCTCTGAGAATTTACCAGAGACAGAGCAGGGAGCAGAACAGGCGGGTCAGGAGAGGTCTGCCACATCATGTGGGTCACCTCCCTGGCTGGGAATCGAACTCACGCTGCAGTGGCTGCAGTAGCTTCAGTTATGGTTTCAACCCATTGCACCACCAGGAAGAGCCCCCAAAACTACATCTTATCACAGAACAGAGATCAGACTTGAAATGGGGCAATAAACCGCTACATGAGAAATCTAAAATGAAAACTGGTTGTCTTTGGATTTAAGCTAAGTAATACAACAAAAGATCTTTCTCTTCAAAAACCACTACACAATTTCTGCTATTGGCTTTTGATTTTTTAGTAAGTTATCTAAAACTTTAAATTCAAACTTTTGGGAAAGTAAGGATAGTCTGAAATTCAAAACCTCTCCATAGCACTTTGACAACCCAGACAAGTTAAGAGAATTGCTGCTTTTTTAATACACTTTAAAGTGAAGTCTGAAAAAGTGACTGACTCAATAAGGCATGATTTTAACCAAACCTTACAAAGGAAAAGGAGACACACATACCAGAGAACATCAACATTGAAAAAAAACCACCTTTTCTGGAAATTCTAATATTTAAGCAGCAGACACCTTAAGCATCATTTGTTTACGTTGTCACTCATAAAGCGTAATCAATCAAAAGAAAGTCTAAAAATTACCAAACATCTTAACTATTCATGCACATATCTTTCCTATAAAACGTTATTTGCTGAGCACCACTGAAGCTGACTGTGCACATTAAGTGTTTAATCAAGGGAAAACGGTAAAACAAGAATTGCAAATTTGAATGATAAACATGAAATAAAATGAATTAATTCCAAATCATGACTTATATCTCCTGAAAAATTAAATACTTTTCCATTTTCTTCCAACCCTTATTTTTGGAGGAAGAGGGGAGAAATGCACCTATAAGACTGTAAACAGAGTCAATGATGACAATTCTACCTCGTGTTTCTGAACTAAGGAAACGGAAGTAAAAATTCATTTACAAGAAATCTGAAAAGGACTAACACATTTTTCAAGAACACAACCCTGTACCAATAAATTCCTTTAAGGAATATGCTGGACATCCATTTACCACAGTCCAAAGTTCTCCCACTGACTTTAGATCCTGTTTAGACTGTCCATTTCCGTCACTTTTAAAGTTGTATGTGCTAGTTCTCGCCTAAACAATCACTTCAGATATGAGAAACGTAATTATCTTCAGATATTATAAGAAACTTGGAAAAGACATTTTATCTCTCTGTGAAAGGACTATTAACTGTTTCAACAGTTGTGAAGACGCTGGAGTAACAGAAAAGTGGAAACATTACCAAATATTTATTTAAATCTTTACACACCTGGCAATACTACTGAACCTTAATCCAACAACCTCCTTTGATAACATAAATTCAAAAATAAGTTTTCTCCCTGAAACTTAGTAAAGAAGTTAATGAACCAAGTTCCACTGTGTAAAGTTACAAGGTCTCCTCTTAAGAATGAGTGACTGATTATTCATGCAGTGGAGCTTAGCTGTGATGCAGACTACTCACAGTACAATGAGGGAGGGGTAGTTTGCATTACCCAAAAGACTTTTCTCCCAATGAGTAAAAAAACCCACCCTGAAAAGCAGCTTCGAAAAAGCCTGTCTTCTGAAAGAATGTCCAGAAAGTCTTTGTAACTATTATTTAACAAGGATATCCTAAAATTAAACGTCATAAAGTCCAGTTACTGAAAACCTGTCATCAACTTTAAGGAAAATTTGCTTATAGGGTTTTTTCTTCCCCGTTATGTCTTCGACAGTTGGAAAATTAAAGACTAAAAGTGAAAAGGCAATACTGAGTTTTTGGGTCATCAAAAGAAACAAATTCATGATAAACTCAGTGCCCAGGGATATTAATAAGGCAAGGGGGGGGGGGAGCCCCCTTTTCGCAATGCGATGCAAAGGTTTAGCAAGTGAGCGCAGCGGACTCCGTCCAGTCCAGAATCCTAGCGCTCCCTTCCACCGCCTGGGCCTGGTCACTTCCTGCCAAGGCCCGCACGGGACTCCAGGCGACCGCTCGCTGTGCACACCCCTGGGTGTGCGGAGTCTGTACACGGAAAGGGGGAGGAGGTAGGGCGAAGACGCTCCTCTTCCCTCCCGACCGCTGCCCACACCCAGGAGAAGGGGAACCAGAGCGCACAGTTGGTGCGCTCAGAAAGGGTCTCGCCGGTGTCTTCGGGGGCTCTGCGAGAGCAGAGTTCGCTTTCCTCACATCTCCGCCCAATCTTGCCGGTTTTCAGTAAAAGATCAAGAAGAGAAAACCAAAGCCTGAAGGAGGAAGTACTGGCCTCGCTCTGTGCAGTCTCTTGGACAGAACGGGGGAGACCGCCCATCTTTATTCCATTGTTCCCCCTTAAGAACTCCTCCCGACCCCCAGCCCACCGCCCCTCCCCCAACACAGCGAGCGAAGGCAAAAACAGGCCCCGAGGCCACCCCAATCGCAGTAACCGGGCCCACCCCGAACTTCACAGAGGCCTTGTCGCAGCTGGCAGCCCCTCACTTACCCATCAGAATGCGCATCTGCTTCTTCCCGAAGAGGCGGGAGAAAAGGGAGGAGATAGTGAGGCCCATGGCGGCAGAAGCACTTGCGATGGGCAGGAGCAGAAGGAACTGGAGCGTCTTCGGGCCTGCCCCTTCACGCTCCCCGGCAAACTGGGCGAGAGGGAAGAGGAGCTGAAGAAAGCGGCTTCTGCCCGGCGCGTTTGACGAAGCTCCGGACCAAGAGTTAGCAAAGGCGAGGACCTGCTAGGCGACTGGCGAGGCAGCTCCGGCTCTGGCGTTAAGTCTTCGGCTGTGCCACGTCACGCGGCAGCCGAGGCGACTCCGGCGGCGGCCGCCCCTCCAACGCGGACAGAATCGCGTCACCGCGGCCCCATCCCCCTGCGCTTCCGGTGCTTCCCGAACCACTGCGCATGAGCACGCAAAAGATTGGCCCACTTCACTGACGTGCTACTCTGGCTCGCGTCACCTCCCGGACGTGGCTCCTGGAGCTGACAAGGCCAGTTAGCACATGCGTAGTGAGAGACGGACAAACTCCCACCATGCTTCGCTTCGTCACGTCCAATCATATTTAAAGAGAGACGCTTCCGCCCGGATAAATTCTTCCTGGAGGGTATAGTCCTTGCTTCCGGAAATGTTGGCTGTGCGTTGTAGCCTAGGTGATGGACTTCCGTCCTTTACGCCCTTTGGACATCCTGCTCTAAAAACTCGACATGTATTGGCGATTCCCCGGCCTCTACAACTTAAACGTACACTTTAAGCACAGAACCAGACGCTTGACCTAGTGGAGGGGTGAAGATGGGCTCCCCCTTCCTGGTAAGTGGTTAAAAGCCAACCTGCAGGTGCAGAGGTAATGACCACTGATGAAGAAGCTAGGCCTAAACGCCCCGACCCCACACCAGGTCATGCAGAAGATACTGGTTTTAATCAAGTCAAAATAGATAAACCAACGGCAAAAGCTTGCATTTCTGGTTAATATTTTCTCTTCTAGAAGAAGCATAGATTATTCCTTAAGTTGACAAAGTGGAAAACTTCCCTTTATACATCCTTATGACTTGTTTTCCTAACTAGGAAATAAAGTATACAATTTTAAAAAGTATATGAAAAAGGAGTTGCCCATAGTCATAGCCACTTCCCATTCATTGCCTCCGTTCTGTTGGTGCAGTTAAGGATTAGTAACACACCCACCTCTATCCTTACCCTTGTTAAACAGTGCTCATCCCTGCCTCAAATCTGTCTAAAGTTTAACTCTGTTGGAAAAAAATTGACCTCCCGAATAGATAAATTTCCCTATTACTCAGGTTCAAGGAATCATAACCATTCTTTAGTGTGATTTCCTCTTAAATTTTAAGTGAAACCTTCCACCTCTTCCATTGTGTGAAAGCACTGGAAGGCAGGACTATAGTTCGTTTTTATATTACATTGTATTCCCTCGAATTGGCACACAGTGACACTGAATTATGGTTGGCTAGAGGGATAGCAGAATAAACGATGGTATAGCCATACTATGGAATACTGTCAGGAACTAGAATGAATGTGAACTGTTCTAATGATAAACTCCAAGATACAGTTAGTGGGGGGAGAGGGGAAACAAGTCAAACAGTGAATAAGTACTGTAAAGTAATATAAAAATGTAGATTCCCTGTGTATAAATGAAGAATAAGAACTTTGACATAGGATCTACAGTGTAGTGATACTGGCTGTCTGTTTCAACTCTCTGGAGGGAGGAGAAAGCCTTGTCTGGAAGTGAGGGAACCTGGTTTTGTTACAGGGCAGGGAAAGAGGGGCACCACTGAACCCCTAAACCTGTCTGTTCTAAATAGGTGGATGTGCCATCCACCACATCAAGACAAAACATACAAGACCTTTTATGGAAAGGAACTTTAATACAATGAGTGTGCAATACAGAAAAGACAATATAGTTTCTAAATCAAACCTCAAAGTTACCTATCCCCTCATGGGTAAAAGTCCATCTAAAAGGGAATGGCCCAAGCAAGGCCTGGAAGCACCCCACAAGTCTAAAGCACCTCAGGGCGGGACCCATAGAAAAAGGTCAGAAATGACCAGGCAAGTCTGGAAGGAAAAGAGACAAAGCAAAATTGAGATAAAAGCTGCCATTGTTAACCTCCCCATGGGTCTCTCACCCACATCTGTTTCAGCTAGCGCAGGACCAAAAACAAGAGCTACTTCTTCACATTTGCCTTCCTTAGGTCACCTTCTGGCTCTCCATCCTGCTTTCTTCCTCTTCAGTCTCTGGTCCAGATTCTTCTCCCTGCTCAGCTCCACCCTCCTCCTGTGTGGGATAGGAAACCTGGAGTCTCCTCTTTTACTGGGGACCACCCTGTTACATTTTTGGAGTGATACTTAAAAGTTATCTGTAATTTTAAATAAACCCCCCTTTTTGTTTTTTTTAAAGATTTGTTTATTTGTGCATACAAAACTGGGGTACAGGCCAGAGGCACAGGGATGGTGAGAGGATTCACCAGAGACAGAGTGGGGGGGGGAGCAAAATAGGCAGATCGATGAGGAACACTGCTAAGGGGAGCAGTGGGCTGGTCAGGAGTGGTCTGCCATGCCACGTGGTCACCTCCAGGGCAGGCAGGGGTTGAACTTATGAGGAAATGGCTTTAGCTTCTTAGTGCTATTCTTTAACCTACTGCGCCACCAGGGAGGGCCCAAAAAATATCCTTTTTATTGAGATATAATTTACATGCAATAAACATGAATTTTAAGTATACAACTTGATGAATTTGTTCATGTTTGCAGTAGTGTAGCCAATACAATGATCACAATATCAAGCATTTCTAGTTTCCCAAAAGTTCCCTCATACTGCTTTGCAGTCACCCACTTTCCTTACCTCCAGACCAGTCATAGCCACTGATGTGCTGTTACTATAGCTTTGCCCTTTCCAAAATTTCATATAAATGAACTTATATATTATGTAGTGTTTTGTCTGGTATTTTAAAAAAGATTTATTTATTTATGCACACAAAAACTGGGGTACAGGCCAGAGGTGTGGGGGATGAGAGGATTTAGCAGCAACAGAGTGGGGAACAGGCAGATTGACTGAAATAACACTGCTGAGGGGGCGAGAAAGGAGAGGTCTGCTGTGCCATTTGGGTCACCTCCCAGGTGGGGGATTGAACTTGTGCTGCAGAGTCTGCAGCTACAGCTTCTCAGTGCTGTGCTTTATCCTCTTGCACCACCTGCGAGGCCCTTGTGTGGTATTTTTTCCCTAACATAATGATTTTGACCTTCATCGATGTTATAGACAGTGTTAATGTTTTTTAAAATTGCTCTGTACTATTCTTTCATATGGACCTACCACTACATTTTTATGAGTTCACTAATGATAAGCTTTCGGTTAAGTGTGGATTTTTTAAAAATTATTTTATTTATGCTTACAGAACTGGAGTACAGGCCAGAGGTGTGGTGGGGTAGAGTATTCACCAGAGACAGAGTAGGGAGCAGAACAAGCAGATGCACTGAAACATACTGCTGAGGGGAGCAGTAGGCTGGCCAGGAGAGGTCTGCCACACCATGTTGATCAGCTCCCTGGCGGAGGATCAAACTCTTGCTGCAGTGACTTTGGAGAGCTTCTTAATACAGTGCTTTAACTGGTGGCACCACCAGGGAGAGCCCAAGTTTGGATTTGTTAATGAATAAAGGCTTCTACAGTTGAGTAGAAGTATTTTTGTGCTTATTTTTAGAAGGTGAAGTTATTAATTCACTACTTTAATTTTTAAAAGAATAATCCTTGAATTCTGATGAAAAAATTAATCACTTTTCACATACAATTTTTCAAATTTTTCTCTCTGAAATACAAAAAGCTTTATATGAACATTAATGGACTTTTATACTGCTGTTTAACTCCTTTGCCCATCTGATAATATACTGTGTTCATTTTAACATATCAGTATTTAAGAATTTAACTCATTTTAGAGGCCACATTCTATTGTACACAGAATAACTTAGCTGATCTATCAAATTGCAAAATGTACGTATTCTTTGATTAAAAAATTCTACTTCCGGCCCTCCCTGGTGGCGCAGCAGGTTTAAGCACTGCACTAATAAGCTAAAGCCTCTTCTGCATGAGTTCGATCCCGCCTCCTGGAGGTGACCACATGGCAGGCAGACCTCTTCTGACCTCCCCTTAGCAGTGTACTTCGTCAATCTGCCTGTTCTGCTCCCCACTCTGTCCCTGTGAATCCTCTCACCCTCTGCATCTCTGGCCTATACCCCAGTTCTGTATGAATAAATAAATAAATCTTTTAAAAAAAAATCTACTTCCAAGAACTTATAGATAGGAGAATTTCTCTCAGGTTTGCTATGTGGTACTTGTAAGGTATTCAACTAATATGCATTAAGCATTGTCAATAAAGATCAGTTTTCTGAAAAATATTTATTTTTGAGCTTTTACATCTTTATTATTATTTTTTAATAATTAGCTTACAGCATCTGTAGTTATATACATTATTAGTTTGTGGTCTTTAAATTTTTTTTTTAATATAGTACTTTTTTCTTACATCACTGTTAATTTTTGGACAACATATGATTTCTGGCCACATAGTTCTCCCACCACCAAAGCCCCCTATTCTCTTGTCTTCCTTCCTCCCATTTTCTCTCCTTCCCCTCCACTTCTGGATACCACTATCTATGGTCAATTTTCTAGGTTTGTCTTAGTCTGACCCTTTGTTTTTTCTGAATTCCACATATAAGTGATCTTGATCCATTAATTTGTTTTTGGCATTTAGGTTGCTTTCATATCTTCACTATTGTAAATAGTGCTGTAATAAACATAGAGTTGCAGGTTTTGGATAGATTTCTAGGAGTGGAATCACTGGATCACATACTAGATTCAAGTTTTCATGTTTTAAGGACCCTCTACATATCTTGTGGTTGGAGTAGTTTACATTCGGTCCAGTAGTGTAAGAGGGTTTCCCTTTCTCCACATCATTGTCAGTACTTTTTTTTTAAAATGTATTTATTTATGCATACAAGAACTAGTGTACAGTCCAGTGGGGTGAGAGGGTTATAACAGGATTCTCCAGAGACAGAGTGGGGAGCAGAACAGGCAGATCCACTGAAATACGCTACTGAGGGGAGCAGCAGGCAAGACAGGAAAGGTCTGCTGCGCCATGTGGGTCACCTCCCTGGCTGGGGATCAAACTCGTGTTATAGTGACTGCGGAGAGCCCAATAATGATGCACTTTAACCCCTTGTGCCATCAGGGAGGGCCCCTGTGTTTTGTTGTTGTTGTTTTGTTTTGTTTTTTTAATACGGGCCATTCTCACAAGTGGGAAGTGGTATCTCATTGTGGTTTTGACTTGCATTTCCTTTATAACAACTGATGAACATTTTGGGGGGGGGATTGAAGCCCCCTTTACTTTCCCTCGCTGATTACTGGACCAGATGTTCCAACTTTGTTTTTGCTTTTGTACAAATTTATAAATTCAGAGTGTTAAATTAAGACAATAATTAGAACCATTGCCAGGACAATGATTTAATCTCTTCCTGACGTTATTAACCTACGTAGTTATGTAGTTGCTCTTTCCAAATGGTATTCTACAGGATTGAACTGAAATAAAAATCTGCTGTTTCAAGAGTATTTTGTTAAAAGCTGTTCAGTAAAGCTTCTTTTGGTAAAACTGCCTTTTAAACACTCATTTGTTGGGAGTGAACCTTGGCAATCAGAACAAAAAATTCATTACCCAGGTGGACTGATAAGGTAGAAGTCATTTTGTAGACTACAGTGGGTTTCTATGCTGCCTTTTTCCTTAATTTCCAAATATTCCAGTAATAACATAAAACACAAGGTGAAATTAAATATAATTAAAGGTACAGCATTTAAAGAACAGGAAATGCAAAGGGAAAGCAATTTGGTTTTCTGCACTCAGTTTAATTCTTTAAGCAATTTAATAGGATATTAATTTCTCTGTGAAGCAAAATACGTAATATTTTGTAATATACATATGTAAAATATGTGTAATAACGAAATATGAGTTGTGGCATCCTTGGTGGTGCAGGGATAGCTATCAAGCTTTTCGACCTAAGTTCAACCCCCAGCCAGGGAGGACACACATGGCCAAGCAGACCTCTCCTTTCTTGCCTGCTGCTCCCCTCAACTTTATTTCAGTCTGCCTGTTCTGCTCCCCACTCTGTCTCTAGTGAATCCTCTCACACCATCCCTTCAGCTCAAGCTCTGGCCTAAACTCCAGTTCTTGTATGCATAAATAAATTAAGTCTTAAACACACATACACACAATTTGTATAAACACTGAGATCTTAGATATCAGTACTATGTCACGTGTATGTACAAGTATTTTCTCCCATTCTGTAGTCTTTTTTTTAGTTTCTTATAATGTGCACACTTTTTTTGTTTGATACCCCAATTGTTGATATTCTTTTGTTTCTCTTGCTGTTGGGAGACAAATCTACAAAAACACACAAACCTAAGTCATGGAGTTTTTTGTCTATGTTTTCTCCTGTGTTTTGTATGGCTTCAAACCTTGCACTCTCCCAGGAACAGAGCAGGGAACTTCCTCTGATACCATCTTGTAGATCTAACAACTTATTTTTTAAAATGAACAAAATATCTTAACATACTTTACCAAAGATAGACAAATGACTGATCAGCATATGGAAAGCTGTGTTCAACATTATTGGCTATTAGGGAAATGCAAGTTAAAACCCCACTGAGACAATAATACAAGTTTATTAGAATGGCTAATAATAGAAAGAATGACCATGCTATTCTTGGATACTGCCTGTGGCAGTGGCAGCCATCACCTAGGTCATGGCTGCCATAAAACCCTTTAAAAAGCCCAAGATCGGCCCTCCCTGGTGGCGCAGCAGGTTAAAGCACTGCACTGAGAAGCTAAAGCCACTTTCGCATGAGTTCGATTCCTGCCTGCCCCGGAGGTGACCACATGGTGTGGCAGACCTCTCCTGACCCACCTGCTGCTCCCCTCAGCAGTGAACTTTATCAATCTGTTCTGCTCCCCACTCTGTCTCTGGTGAAGCCTCTCGCCGCCCGAGTCTCTGGCCTGTACCCCAGTTCTGTATGTACAAATAAATAAAATCTAAAAAAAAAAAAAAAAAAGCCCAAGATCATCAAGAGGGCCATGTTCATCTAGTACTATTGAGACAGATATGAAAAAATTAAGGATAACTGGTGAAACCCAGAGGTATGGATAACAGGATGCTCTGAAGATAAAAGGGCCAGGTCTTGACACCCAACACTGATTATGGAAGCAAAAAGAAAACAAAGCCCACAGGCTATCCAGTGGCTTATAAAATTTTCTGGTCCACAATGTCAGGGAGCTTGAAGTGTTACTGACATGCAGGTTTTACTGTGCTGAAATTGCTCACATTTCCTCTAGGAAGTGCAAAGCCATTGTAAAAAGAGCAGTCTTGCTGGCCATCACTCACCAATCCCAATGCCACGTGAACAAAAGGATGGATTGTGCATACTGTTGCAGAATAAGACCATAAAACTGAAAGATTAAAAGGTCTGAACTATACCACATGTTGGCCAGGATGTGCAAAAATTGGAATTCTTCATACACAACTGGTAGAAACAAAGTAGGACAGTCACTTTGGAAAACAGTTTAGGAGTTTCTTAAAAAGCTAAATATTCACGAACCATGTGATCTAGCCATTGCATTCATACCTACCGTAGGTATTTCCCCAAGTAAAAGGATGTATTTGTCTTTTTATCAAAGACTAATTCAGTGCTCACAGCAGCTTTATGACAGCCCAAAACTAGAAACAACCCAAATATCTTTCAACAGGTAAGTAGATATGTATTATATCTGTTCCTCTGTTCCTGTTTTGACAGTGGTGATGGGTTTTATGGGTGTATTCAAATTATCAAAATGTATACTTCAAATATGCTGTTTATTGTTATCAGCTATACTGCAATAAAGCTATTTTTTGGAAACACAAATTGTTGGGTTCTACCACTAGACTGTCCTATTTTTTTTTTTCTTTTCAAAGATTGATTTATTTATTCATACAGAACTGGGGTACAGGCCAGAGATGCGGAGGGTGAGAGGATTCACCAGGAACGGAGTGGGGAGCAGAACAGGCAGATCGACGAAGTACACTGCTGAGGGGAGCAGCGGGCGGGTCAGGAGAGGTCTGCCGCGCCATGTGGTCACCTCCGGGGCAGGCGGGAATCGAACTCATGCAGAAATGGTTTAAGCTTCTTTGTGCTGGGCTTTAACCCGCTGCGCCACCAGGGAGGGCCTAGACTGTCCTATTTTTAAAATTTTACCCATTTCACTGTTAAAATGTATCAATCTCCTATTGTGTAAAAATTTATTTCCTAAATGGCAAGTATGACAACTCCAGAATGTAAAGTTACTGTTTTTCAAAAGTATCTCAGTCTAGAAACAACTTACATGACAGTGTATTCATACATGTTGATCTGGAAAAACATGAGGGAAGGAATAAATATGAAGGATCCATGAAGGTTAGCTTTCTAATGGCTAAGCAGATGTGGTATTATGATGGCAAAGAGAATGGAAAAGTGAAAATACACAGAACTCAATCTGTAAAATAGAATGAGATTTACACAACAATTATATTAACTTGGAGAAAGGCAATGCTATAACAAAGAAAAAAAATAAATCCATTTTGCTAGCCACCCCTCAAAACTTGTTTATCTAAAAACTGAATAGCTGTGGGAAACATTTAGGAATCATGATTCTGTATCTTGCATCAAATTGTTCCATCCATTTCAAACAAACAGGGAAGAGTAACTGGAAAAAAACTCCAGGAGCTCTCTTTTATTAATGAATGTAAATTTTATTGATAATAAAAATAAATTCATATTCAACCAAGTTGCACATGGCGTATAAACACTGGCTATATGAGACATCAAATTACTCAGGATAATTTACTCGTGAGTCAATATATTTTACTATTTAAGTGACATTTATCCACAGTAGAGAAGCTTTTTTACCTTCAACTATCTGTTTATAGCAGACTAATATTAGAAAGTACTTTTCCCACCAGGTTATGTTAAAAGAAGAAAGTTTGGGCATATAAAAATGAATGATATTATGAGCATGAAAACAAAAGTTTTAATTTTAATGGGTACCTCTTAAGTGTACTAAAATATTTTATAGCATAGTGTAAAGGATATTACCCAGTAACTTCATAAAGTAATAACCAATATGTCATTACCCAGTAACTTGATAAAGTAATATCCAATATGTTTTATTAGCAAATAAGCTAAAAATCCAAACAATAGTATTATATATTTGCTACTTTTAAAAGGAGAAATAACACTTTCAAATTTAAGGTATAAAAAAGGCAGCAAATTAATGACAATTTAATAATACTTTGATTATTAACCTTGGGTTCTACTACCCAAGGTTTTAAGAACATTCTTATCAGAACATTTCATAAATTCAATACACAGAAAGCATGTAAAATCACTGAACTGAATTATTTTCCTGTTCATAGTGAAATGCACAGAAAAATGTCTTCATTTGAATTTCTTTTAAAAGGCAGGAAGTAAAGGAAATCCCAGAATGTAGAAGCTTCATTTACTATTCTTTTTTTTTCTCAAGTATTCCAACCTTACTCAGAAATAACACAAGATATCCAAGAATTTAAACTACAAGACCTTTAATTCAGTTTTTTTTTTAATGACCACAAATGCCTTCACAAAACCTCTTTTTCATTCATGAGAGAAGGCACCAGGCATTATTACATAACACCCTGAAAGCAGTGATTCCTTCTAATGCTGGTGGAGATAAACATTAAATGGCAGGTTTTAGATCTTAACAGCGTCTCCTAAAAAAGGGGACAACTCTGAAAATCACACACACACAAAAAGTTGTCAGTCAGTATTTCTCAGGTTCCCAATGCAATTTTAAGTTACTTTTGTAAGTACATGATTTGAAATTAATGAACTGGTTAAATATGATAAGGTTTCAACATGTGTTAGGTTTCAGTTAAAAACAGTAAATATGAAGGAAGTATTATTAAGCTAAAGTGTATGCTTTGCTACTTTTTAGCTGTGCAAAGTAAAATTAAAATGATACATCCTGTAGTGGCATAATTTAAAACATCCTTGATAATGACACTAACAACTTTCAAATTCATGTCAGAAACTGCATATAAATTGTAGGATTATTAAAATACACCTTTTTGAAAAATAATAAGATGACCATTTATACCTAAATAAGGTTTTCCAGAAAGATAAGAAATACTTTAGTATATAAAAGTAGTTTCCCCTTTTCCATAAGGACAACTGTTGTTTCACAAAATAACTCATATGATCCAAGCAGGGCAAATGATTTCTTTCAAATGCCATAGTCTGTGACTTTGAGGTATGCTTCAAGAGACTATATCCATGAGGAAAGGGCACATTTGGGTATAAGACCACAGTTACAAACACTAGGAACCTTTTTGGGGTCAGGAGTGCTCTAAAGAGTTATATTAACAGAAAACAAAGGATAGCTTCTGAAGCCATCTCTTACAAATACATATAGCTAAATTTCATTACTTACTTGAGCATAATTCAAGACACAGCTATTTACATGTACGCTATGTCATGTGTGCCTATTTTAAATAGTGGATTCTGCAGGATACTCCTATTCAGACACAATCCAAAGAACTTTACCAAACCACAGTCTTCTATTTTTGGTGAAACAGTTTAGTTTTAAAAAGGAAAAAAACAACAAAAAAAGCTGGCAAAAGTTCCCATGCTAAACAATAGGGAAAGTGTTCTGAGAAAAATTAATTTTGAGGGAGAAAAACCTACCAAACAAATAATGTTGGAAATCAATCTATAATCACTCAAATGGCTATCACATAAAAACACTTATGAATGCCTTGAAGAGTGTGGTTTCAAAACAGTTGACTATGAGATATAATTAGAATTTTTTGCAAAATGTTCCACCTAAATATCTTACCTAGTTAAGAAAAGGGTAAGAAGAAATAAATTCCATCACAATTAATACTTGATGCCTTCTTGCCCTTGGAGAAATTGGTAAGATTAAATTTGAAAATGACATAGAAAATAACTAAATGAGCCAGGAATGATAATGGGGGGTTGGGGGAGGAAGAGCTTGATACTCCTACTAATAAACTGGTAAGGGACAAGAACGTATTTTTAAGCAATGATACTCAAAAGAGTGCCTTATAAATTTACTTATCATAATCAAGGAAAAGCTTCAAGACTAGCAGCTAGATTTTGTGAAATACTAAGGACAACGGAAGGCACTACAAAAGCATTAATTACTTTTAACTTCAGTCTGACAGTTCAGTCTTTTCCTTCTTAAGAAGATAGTCAGTGAGAATGTTATTTTTATATCCCCCTGAGTTTTAACATGATTGGGCAAAGCAGCACCAATTTAAAAAAATATCTGCAATGCCAGCACTGCAGTTTGGAATCACTTACACTGATGGCCCACAGGTCTCTCATAAGAGCACTTTAGAACATGATTAAAAATATACAAATGCCTTTTGATGTTTCAGTATTAAAGTGGGACCACCACATACACACATTTTTAAAAATAATGCACTAAAAAGGTCTGTATATACAGCAGAGTCAGTCTTTCCACCCTGTATCTAGCTTTCACAGCTGTTCTCTACTCCAAGAGATCTCCTTTGTGCGCCTGGTTGAAATGTCAGTATGCTTCATGATGCACAATCCTTTTTGACTGGAAAATCCTGGCAATGTCATGTCATGCCTGTTTTGAGCAGTATGCCTTGTAGGTCCTCTGGTAATGCTAAGATAATTGCATCTATGTGCGTCCGCAACTTTTCCACAGTATCTGGTTTCACAGGTAAATGCTCTCGATCAGCCTGTAACTACATAAAGAGTATTTGTAAGTATTTAAATTATCCTGAATCTGTATTAATATATAGTATTCTCTAAATACATAGTTTTAATGGTCTAGTGATTTAGATAAAAAATTACAGAAACTGTAGAAAGCAAAGAACATTCCATCAATACATGGCTGAACTTAATAAAAGACTGCTATGTAAATTAATGGGTAACCCCTGCACATACCATGTAGTATAAATATAAGTAACAATGTTTTGTTTTATGGCACTCATTACATTCCATGTAAATAAATTTTGAAATAATATGGAATTCATTATGATCTGCTTGCTCTACCATCCAGTTGGCCCATGTCAAGTCTTCTCACTTAAAAAGTTAAGTTTGTTGCGGCCCTCCCTGGTGGCGCAGCGGGTTAGAGCACTGCACTGAGAATCTAAAGCCACTTCTGCA